GTCATAGTGCCGCTTTTGCGAACCATGCTATCGGCGAACAAACCTATGACTCTTAACGCCAGCCAATCAAAAACGGAATAGGAACCATACAGAACCACAAGATCGCTTTTCTTAAGTCTACAGATTCTTATGGACACTACAGCGTACCCGATTAAGGACATACAGGCATATATGAGGTTGCTTACACTGAAGACATAGAGATTCAAGGCTGAAGAGTCTACACGCAAACAAAACGACAAATCGGAAATGAATTGTAAAAAACTTTGAAAACCCTAGATATACCCTTTCCTTGATAATAAAATTGTAAAAAGACCTGACCTTATGCTGTAGCCGACGCCGAACACTGCTGTGCTCGGCGCCCTTATTCAAGGCCAAGTGCCTCAAGGTCATCCACTGTCGTAGTGAGCGCCTTCAGACGCGTTGACCTGCAGACCCCTGACAGATTTCCACTCGGAGACAAAAAAACGTGCACCCGTATAGTCGTGGCTGCCCAAGCGCCACTTGAACACACCCCTTTCCCCCACCCTCGGCCGACACAGCCTACGCAACCAGACTAAAACCCCCTCGGATAACGTCACATGCATCAGTTGGAGAACACTCGAACTTGCTCCGCAATACTACTTAAGTAACTGCCATCACTGTCTCACGCACACTCAGGCCTAGTTGGACGCAGTCAGCACTTCGCCAGTGGCCACTGCCGCCTGAGACAGCAACTCTTGGTTCTGTGCTCACGGTATTCGTAATTTTGGTGTCTTCTGTCTTATACCTACAACCTGGAATTTGACCTGACGATTGTGATGCTATAAGCAAAACCACGACGTAGACTCCTACACTGCCAAACGAACACAAGAAATGCTATGTTTCTTACGTTTTCTAGACAATATATTTGAATATTTAAGGGTAGCTAAAATCAATAAAGAAAATACGTATTACCTACGTAGTCTCGTTTTACCAAGTATGATTTTGCATGCGACTGAGCAGACATCCAGGTGGTGTAGTTTCTAAGCCGTCATCAGGCCAAAATTTCAAGTAGGTAGAAGGCTGACAGCATCTTTGGGAAGGATTTATTGTGTACAGAACTCTCAGTTGGGAAGAAGAAGAAGACGAATCAGTCGCTGGGATAATACATTTATTTGCCTGACGTTTCGAGATCCGTCGCGGACTCGTCATCAGAGGCATAATCAGAAAACAGTAGCAGATAAGACTCAGTTGCTGTATCAGATGGCAGTGGCCACTGACGAAGCCAAGGCTAGTTTTGACAGCGTCCGGTCAGACCCGAGAGAGCTGGAGACAGTGGGGGGGGGGCAGTTGCTTAAGTAGTATTGCAGAGCAAGTTCAAGTGTTCTCCAATTGGTGCGTTTGACATTGCCTGAGGGATGTCGTCTCTGGTGTTGTAAGCTGTGTCAGCCGACGGTGGGAGAAAGGGACATGTTCAAGGGGCGCTTTGGCAGCTGTGACTACCTGGACGCACTTGTGTATCCGAGTGGAAGCCGGTCAAGTGACTGCAGGTCAGCGCTTCTAAAAGCGCAGATTGGGATAGTGGATGACATTGAGGCAGGGGACCTTGAGCAAGGACGTCGGAAAATGCAATTTTGGGTGCCGGCTACAGTGCTTACGCTGCAAGGTAATCCATATTACACCTTCACTGAAGTACTCCTTCCTAATCGAAAAGGCATTTCGGATGGTTGGTTAACATTTCATAAGATCGAAGCCACTGAGGGTGTATTTTAAGATCAAACGTAAAAAGCGCTGACCCGAAGACTTTATTCCAATGGTAGGGCGCTCATCGATTCGGTTACGGAACATGCATGCATGCAACAGTGGTAATATTCCCGATCGCAAACGACAAAACCAATGAGCCCTTGGTGCAGCGGTAAAGTGTTGCACTCAACGATCGAGGATTCAGAGTTCGAATCTCGGGGTCGGAATTCCCGGGATTGGCCATGACTGGCTGATGACGGTTAGCAAGCCAGAATTGGCCATTTCCGTTGATTCCATTCCACTTTATTCCAGGTCCTTACACTAATTTCCGACGAAAGGGCAGACGCCTACACGTGACAAGGTCACGTTCCCGCACCGCGTGCGTTTGATTAGGGCCTAATCGATAATCGCACGTGTAGTCTTAGTAGCCACCAGACAGGGGGAACAGGCGATCATCTCGAGGTTACTTCCCTCGGCATCTACTAGGCATGGGGAAATCTCCGAAAGGAAAGGGCAAGGGCTCCAAGGGAAAAAGCAAATCACCCGGTAGTAAGGGTTCAAAGGGCAAAAATGTCCCCGAAGAGCCTCCAGTCGAGCGGGGCATGCAAACCGACCCCGACAGCATCTGCTTCATGTGCTGTGTGCAATTCAGCGATGGCGCCGCCATACAAGCCCACACGCTACTAATGGACCACAGACCCCCCTACCACATCAGTCATCAGCACTGTAGAGGCTGCAAAGAAACTGTTTTTATGAAGTGGACGGAAAAACACAAGTGCGCCCTCGCCAAGGCTGCCTACCTACGTCTTATCAGCTCCAATGTCTCTCTGCCTGGCGGTCCGCCCTACAGATGCCTTTACTGTCGTAGCCGACCTCTCAGCTCACGCAGCGAATTAACCGTCCACCTGCTGGCCTATCACCGGCCGCAGAGACAACCGGGGGTCTGTGGTTTGTGTCCATTCACCTTTTCGGAGCCCGTTTCGCTCCCACCACCCCCTGTCCCCCCTCCACCGGCAAATGCCGACGAGGCCACCCTAAAACAGTATGCCAAGGAGGTGCAAAAGGCAACTGAACTACGAATGTGTGAATTTGAGTACGCCGAGGTGGCGCCTGGTTTGATTGACCTCCACAATCACTGTGCCCGAGTGCACGTTCCAGCCTATAGCCTGCTTCTACGGCAGAGGCTCCTGACTGACTTCCACCTGAGAGAACCCTTTGCCTGTGTAATCTGTGGCCAGGTATTCCACAGCAACGTGGAATATCACGCGCATATAATCTGCCGTCATGCCACTGATGTCCCCATTAAAGAAGGACTCCGGATCTGTGCAGTATGCTCCAAAGGCATCAGGTCAGAGGACTGTTTCAATCAACACGTGAAACGGCGCCATGAGGAGCCCATAGCACACCTGGCCGACCTGTGGACCAGTCGAGAGCTGATGATGGATGCGGCTGATGCCGGCCAGGTGTGCACCACCTGTTGGGACGTTCTGCCCAATGCAATGCAACTGCAGGCCCACATTATAGTGGCACACACGTCAACCAATCCGCTAGTTTGCGGTTGGTGCAATTTGGAGTTCACATCCTGTCCGGACCCGCTTGTTGCCTTTCCCATCTTCCTGAATCATGAGCGGAATCACGCCAGACTCCTCCACGCACAAGCTCTGGAGTCCAAGCGGACCTTTGATCCGGTTCCCGAGCTCCTCAATGAAGACTTCTCCGCGGAAGCCATCGCAGCGATGTTGGCCGCGCAAGCTGAGGCGGACGCCAGTAAAAGTTCCAAGTCTCCAAAGAGCGAATCGGGAAAGAGCAAGGGCAAGGGCAAGGACAAGAGTAAGGGGAAGTCTTCACCGAAAAAGAAGAAGAAGTAATATTTCAGCTCTACGTGGGGAGAGCTTGGATTCTCCCCTGCCCGTGTATATAATCAGGCTTGCAAGTGATTGGATACTTGCTGTTCGGAGAGCAATGGAAACAATGCTATTTCCCTCTCCCAAAGATGTGTTCTGTTTTAGGTGTACTCTGAGGGGGTAAGGGCAGGCAGATCTAATTTCAGGCATTGCCGGGCGAGTTGAATGGCCATTTCTGGTGCATTAGCCCTCATCAGCTAGCCATGCCTAACCCCAAGTGGTGAACCACCCGAGACTCGAACTCGCGACCTTTTTGACCAGAGGTTCAACGCGCTGACCACCGAACCATGGGCTGTTTGTCTTGCCGGTTTAGATAGGGAATCCTGACATTCTCTGATGAGCACTCACCGATCGCCGCATCGTGTGAGTTCCAAGGCAGAACGTGAGTTCGGTTAACGCTAGGCGAGCGTTCATCAATGAAGACTGGAGTCTGCCCGGGAGATATTGCCGTGGCGTGGGCTGACGACCTGACAGATCAGCGAAGGCCGGATTGTGAGTAGTATTCACGCCTGTGAGGAGAGGATGGGCAGTAGAAGTGCGTGAGTCACAGAATAGCGTTAGAACCCGACAAAGACAAGGCAGACTGCAATAGTCGTTTCTGACCTATTAAACGTCATCAGCCAGTCATGCCCAATCCCAGGTAGTGTTATTCAGCCTATAGCATTAGCCAATAGGCATCTGCTGGCGAAGTTCTAGAGTGAAGCGACATGATCTCTGACAGCTTCCAGGTTGTAAATATACCTGACCGCAGCCGACAGGACGACGAGCCCGTGACTCCATGGTTGGGGCATTGGGGTTCTAACCAGCGTCGAGTAGTGCACCGCCTGGGGTTGATTATGACTGGCTGATGGCGGAAAATAAGCCAGAAAGGGCCATTCCAGTCTCCTTTGTCTGTACTGGCAATGCTATCACTCGAAATTAGTCGGCGTTGCACCCACGATGCTGTGGGAAACCCGACCTTCGGGACTGCGAACTGTCAGTGGTGCATGTCACAGCGACAACGCATTGACGTAGGACCGGAGAGCCACTGAGCACTGGAGGAGGCCTTTATTCGATTGGCCTGCGAGCACTGCGAAATAACGCAAGGTAAAGTTTCCATGGCAAGCGTCTGAAACGCCAACCGCCACACTTTACATCATGCTGATTATGGTGAAACGAAATAATTAAAGTCGAGGATATCTCTCGGGACCCTCCTCCACCCACCGGCTGGGTCCCGAGTGGAAGAACAAAAAGGGTGCCATTGGAGTACACATCGCACATTCTATGCAGATTGGGGGTAGGAATAAGGTTTACTGACGGGATGGGTTGGTAGCCAGATGCGAGCTTGCGTCGACTTCCGCATGTGAAAGCATGTTCCTAACAGCTCATTGGCTGTTTTGGGTGGATGACTCTGATTGGCCAGGTGTCATGACGGCATCATAAGCCACTGGTGCGTGCGTGTACGCGCGGGCGTCAGAGTGATGTGCAGTGTTACAACAAAGGCAGCAGAGTGGTTTTGTCGCAGGGGGTTAAGTGAGTTAAACCCAGAAACTGCGATCTTCAGACCATGGTTACTTAGTAGAGGAGAAGAAGTCGGTTAAGGCCGGAGTAGTGGGAAGAGTATATAGCGTACACAAAGGAAAGGAGAATAGATGGAAGAAGTCTGACTTGGGAGACCACGACCACCAGGGAGTTTGACCGGGTCCCAAGTGACAGTTTGAGAGCAGTCAGGAGAGTAGACAGTGAGAGAAAGCGCGTTAATTGGCTAGGTCGGCCTGTGATTGGTTGGACGGCGTGTTGGGTGGTCCACGTCATACGCGCCAGTAAGTCTGTCGACCGCAGTGAACTTGAGCTCCAGACAGATTGAGGCCACGACGGGAAAGCCAGACATCGGGCAGGCGGCAACCACTACAGTTTCACTACGGACAGATGGAGATAACCAGTCTGTGGAATCACTAGTACTGACAATTATCTTATTCCGGCAGCGTTAGTCAGTCTCCAAGGGAAGACGGGACCCCACGACAAGCATGGGCCCATGGAAGTTACCCTGGAACCCCGTTTTCGGGCGGCTAGTTGAAGACCGCTTAGACAACCGGATTCGTCTACAATCCTCTCCTGTCGCCCGTTATGCTGCACCTATGTCCAACTGCGCTGAGCTACGGCAACGCTGATCACCGAGATTTGTCAGTCTCGACGGCTACTGATCATCGTACAGGCCGCCTCCGAACAACCGTGTCCAACGCGTGCTCCATAGCATGGTGAACACGACACCAGCGGATGTTTTTACATTGAGACAGACTTGCACTGCATCTGTCACACCCCATCTTCGATCATCTGACTTATTCTCGATGGCAAGACGATGCCAAGACGATCGGAAGCAGGCTCGGGAGCAACAGTACATTCAAAGCTAAACCACCCGTCTACGCGTGCCACACACGACCCGTTGTTTGCAATGCTACTGGAGTTTCACGAGGGTTGTTTGGGTAATGTCCTTCTGCATATATT